AAATTTGATAGATGGTACCTTAAGGTACCAAGCATCATTAGCCAATTATTTATCCTACAATGTCTTTAGATATTTTCTGATGTCCTTATCAATATTTTATAGTTTTCTGTAAAATATATAATTCGCTATATTGGTAAAAATTACTTGATGATAATTGATAAAATTAGATATACTGTAAATCTACCACGTATAATATTCCACTGTTTGTATTGTGCTTTAATTTTTTTATTTAATTTAAGATTTAATTTTATCAATAGTTTTATAATTATCTTTTATTTATTTAGATAAATAAATTAAAATTACTCACTTTATGAAAAAATTATATTTGATATATTATATTATTTAGTAATTTTATGGATCTATTATTAATATTTATAATACATTTCACTTTTGTCTTAAGACTTATCTTTGGCTTATATTTCATTTCTTAAAAAACATTTTTGGTTCACTTTTTTTATATATAAATGCTTTTTTTCCAAAAATGTATAAATTATGATGAATATTTTATAAAAAAATATTAACCTTTACATTCTTTCTTTCAAATTATTGTTTAAGATATATGCATACATTTTTGGGGATTACGGAGTGGGGAGGGGAGGACGAAAGGGGATATTTTTTATTAGCTTAAAATGATATTCACAAAAAGTGATAAATTTCTGAAGGGGGAATTTCCCCCTCCCCCTTGGCTACGCCTAAGAGTATCTTGTGACTACTAGTGGCTGACAGAGTATCCTGTGACTACTAGTGGCTGACAGAGTATCCTGTGACCACTAGTGGCTGACAGAGTATCCTGTGACTACTAGTGGCTGTCAGAGTATCTTGTGACTACTAGTGGCTGACAGAGTATCTTGTGACTACTAGTGGCTGACAGAGTATCCTATGACTAGTGGCTTATCCTCTGACCAGTGGCTTACAAAGTAAATTACAACTATCGAAGATATTATACCCATAATCGCATATCGCTTTCTGGTCATTTAACTATAGATTAGTTTACTTTGAAATAAATTTCATATTTTTTTTTATTGATTGACTGATATATAAAAATAATGAAAACATTAGATAAAGAAATATTAATTTTAATTAAGAATAATTTTGAATAAGTATATTTGACCGAAAATTAAATATCATTATTACTATCATTAAATTTAAATTTTTGACTCAAATAATTGTGTTTGAATAAAATCGCATTCATTACAAATAATTATTTTAAGTTTACTTCTTTACCAAAAAATGCTTATAAATTTTTTTCAAAAAATAAATAATAAAATTTCACTTTATAAACAACTAATATAAATTATTATTATTGAATTGACTTATCTGATTCTTCATTATTTAACAGTCTGCACAATGGTAGACAGAACCAAATATAAAAGACAATTTAATGGAAGGCAGGGCAAAAAGGTAAGTTTAATTTGGAAAATTTTATTATTAAACGATTTATTTTTAATAATTTTATTTCTGTTTTTAACTCAAAATTTTTGAGTTTATATATAGTTACAAAAAATATATAAGTCTCTTCTTTTAGTTAAACAAATAATTTTATGGTAACAAACTTAATATTTATTAAGAAAATTAAGTTAACAAAAAAATATATATTTTGAATAACCTTTTATATAACACAAAAAATGTAAGCATCTTTAACATTTCCCTCTTTTTTAAATCTTCCCCATCGTATTTCGCTGCTTGATCGTAATCGCTCCAAATTTCCATTATTCGTCAATTGCTATCTTTGATCAAATTTTCAACATTTTGTCAATTTCAAAAAATTTCTTATATGTATATTTTATGTATTTTATAAAAAAATTTTATTTTATATTTATTTATAAATAAAAATCTTTTTAGGTCTTAGATAATATTTTTTATCTTGATTTTGTTCTTTCTTTTTTCCTCCTCTAAAAACTTGTGTACTCGGGTGTAGAATTTTTGTCGTTATTATTATAATTTATTTCTTTCATATCTGTTGCAATATTTTATTTGGAATCATGTTCGTAAGGTATTGTGGAAATTTGAAGTGCTCAACATAAGCATAGTCAATTACCTACCGTGTAATTTACTGTGCAATTTTATGAAAAAACATTTATAAATGACTAGCCAAGGGACTTTCGGAACACTAAGTAATTTATTAAAATATTTGCTTTTTCGTTAAATTTACCTTTTCATATTCTGATTTAGGCCCATTTTAAGAATTATTCTTTATATGTTTAAAATTTTCTAATTCGAACAAATCTATTTTTGGATTGGTTTATTTCTGACAAGGTGGGAAAAGCCACCAACCTTAATCCACCTACCCATTAAATTAAGGTCTTTAATTTCTAATTTTTTAACAACACTTATTATGGAAGTTAATTCAAATTTAAATTCCCTTAAAGCTTGGGAGAATCTTTTAACCTTTCCTTTTAAAGTCTTAATTAAACCTACAGATAAAAATAAAAAAACTATTTTGCATTAATGTATAAAATATAATATAGACCATTTTTATGACTTAGAAATGGAAAATTACTTTCCCTGATTTTGATAAATGCAAAATTATATTTAAAAAAAATAGACCAAGGGTATGTATGTGGAGATTAGCTTCATCTAATGATAAATTGGCTCCATTTGATGAACATACTTTTACTTTATTAAAAGAATTGCACCCTCAGGTTTTTCCTGAAGATCTTCCCATCGCTATAAAATCTAATTTAATCGAAATAGGTAAGGAAGACGAAGAAGTAATTAAAACAGTTTTATCTTTTAATAAAAACTCTGTAGGGGGAATTGACGGTTTTCGCCCCTCTTATTTCCAATTTTTAATTAACCCTAAAAATCCTTATCAATATTCATTTGTAAATTCATTGGTAATACTTAGTGAAAATATATTGAACAATGATTCCTAATTTTTGACTAATTAGTTTTCGCCTGTTTTTCTACTACAAATTCTTTTTGGCGCAAGATTAATTGCTTTTTCTAAGCCTGATGGTGGAGTTCGGCCAATTGCAATAGGGTCTTTTTTTAGGAGATTATTAGCTAAGATAATCGTTGAGCGCATCAAACCTGAGGCTTCAAAAATGTTCCAAACATATCAATTAGGCTTTGGTACTAAAGGGGGGTGCGAAATAGCCGCTCACTCTCTTCGCATATATATCGAAGATCCTCCTCCAGACGCCGTAGTCTGTAAGCTTGATTTTAAAAATGCTTTTAATTCTTTATCCAGTAAAGCATTTTTTATGAAAAATTCCCAGTTTAAGCAAGATTTGGGCCCTCTGATCTTTAGTTTAGGTATACATAACCTAATTCATTGTCTAAAATCCTCTTTTAATTTAGATTTAAACATATGGTATCTAGATGATGGTACCATTTGCGGACCTTCTAAAAATATTTTTGCAGCGATAGAATATGAGAAGAATTCTCTAAACATAGGCCTTACTCTAAATAAAGCTAAATCGGAAATATGCATTTTAAATTCAAATACTCTCAAAGTCCAAGGGTTTAAAATCATTAAAAAAAGTGAAATTAATCTTCTAGGTTCACCTTTAAGCAGTTTTTCTAACTGTGAGGTATTCGTGGAAAAATTTTTTCGAAGGCTTATTAGGACTTGAAACTATTTTATACGAAATTCCTTCACACCAGAACTTTTTTCTTTTAAAAAAATATTTATTTATACCAAAGATTTTACATATTTTTAGATCTTCTTCCTTTTTTTTAAATAATGAAATTATTAATCGTGTTTATGAATTTTTTAGAAGTTTATTAGAAAATATTTTAAATATTAAATTGGAAGATTTTAATTGGGGTTTCTCACAATTACCCTCGAAAATGGGTGGTTTAGATTTATATTCTTTAAATCTTATATCTCTTTCCTCATTTTTGGCATCGCGTTTGATGAATAACGCCATGATATCTTCTTTTATCTCTCCTAAAGACAACCTTTTAAACTCAGCCTTGACAACCTGGGTATCTTTAGCTCCAACTGAAGCTGTCTTACCCACAATATTAACACACCAATCTATTTTCGAATCTTTAATTAAAAATTTATTTTAAATAATCTCATCAAACCCCCCTTTTGGAGTATATTCAACTATTACAGAATGCTGACTGTACTAGTGGTTATGAGTGGTTGGAAGCATTACCAAGTCGTAACCTAAGTAACCTCTTATCAGATGAACAATTAAGAGTTGCCATAGGCCATCGACTTGGATGTAACATTGTTCAACCACATACATGCATCAAATGTAAAATATTAGTTGACTCCAAAGGGAGACATGGTCTAAATTGTATATATAGTCAAGGCAGGCATGCAGCAATTAACTTAGCTATTAGCCGTTCTCTTACCAGGGCCCGAATACCAAGCATCCTGGAGCCTACAAATTTATCATTAGATGATGGCTTAAGACCAGATGGCTTAACTTCGGTGCCTTGGTCTTTAGGGAAATCCTTAATTTGGGACTTCACATGCGTATCTTCTTTCCCAAAAAATTTAAATTCTAATCCGGTTGATATAGCCGAGAAAAAAAAACAATGAAATATTCCAAATTCACAAATTATATTTTTACACCGATCGTTATCTCTTCCCTTGGACATATGCCAAGCGGAACTTTAAAGTTCTTAAAAAATATAGGGGATATAACAAGAGCCCTTACATCAGAACCAAAAGAATTCTATTTTTTAAAACAAAACCTTCAAATCACTATTTTAAAATATAATTATTCATGTTTTTTGGGAACTTGTAGTCCCAATTCGGTTTTTATATAACATTGTTTTATTTTATTTTATATTTGATATGTTAAAAATATTAGAAATTTTAATATATAAGAATAAGAATTATTTCTGATTAAAAAAAGGAAGCCCAGTGTTTAAAATCATTATATGGAGAACGGTCAGTTTTTTTCTTGAAGGTTAAGGTTAAAAAGATTGCTAGATATGTAATTTTTAAAAAAGAAGTTTAATAAAATTTGATTGTTGTTTAATAAATACTTATGGTAATGCAAGCCATTTATCTTTCATTTAATATCAGTCCATCGTCCAGTCCTAATCAGTTTATAATTTACTTTTTAAAAAATAAGATAAAATTGTTATAAGATAACAAATTATGTTATTTGTAAATATAAATACTATAAATAAATTTATAATATATTTAAACAATTGATATTGTAAACAATGTTATAAAATATTTCAATTATATATGATGATATTCTCTTTATCCCATTCTGTTTGGATATCTTCAACTTCGGGAACAGATGATGAAGTAAAATAATCACTAAATCTTCTTGCTATAAGATATTGAGTAAAAAAATTATTATAAAATTTGTGCAAAAGAATGGCCTATTAGTTAATGCAAATAGCAATATGTTCAAAATATTATTAATGTCAAACAATATAACCAAAATTGACAAAATTATTTATAATGTTAAAATGAGATCTGTGATAATGAAAAGGTTAGTATTTATTTATATCGTACGAATAACAAAGATCTTTTCCTTCCTAGAGGTATGGATAAAGGCCCCAACATAGAAAAATATAGGCAACGCCAAGATGAAAGCTTGAATTGTTATCAATGGAATGTTCACTATCGCGAAATTACTGCAACCATACTTATTTTTCCACTTTTCATAGGTTTTATTCATCTAACCAAATAATATTAAGAAAATTTTTAAAAATATCTATGAATGTGAGTGTGCACATGTGAAAGAAATCAAAAGTTTCCCTAGGGTTTAAATTTTAAACTAGAATTAAATATTACATGACTCGTTTAGTATGCCTATATGATCAGAGTTTAGAGTCTGGACGAAAAATGGTTCGGGTTCTAAATACTTGCTAAAAGATAGTAGTTCTGTTTCCAGTACAGTTCCGAAAGTTCCAGATTTGGCTTTAAACTCTATGATAAAACTTGAGTTAACCCAATTGTATTATCTATAACCTATTTCTTCCTTACCCTTCTTTCCTCTAATTATATTTCATTTAAGGTAGTTAAATTCCCCAGTTAAACTCTCCAAAAAAAAATCAGTTCCATTAATACTTTATTTTTTAAAAACATGTGAATTTATCCAAAGATCAAAAAACTAAAGGAACAAAATCAATTCCACTTGAAGAGCTGAATTCGTTCCTTCCTTTAATAAATCCTATTAATTTATGAATCGGTAAATATTTTAAAATACTATAACATTTATAATTTATATACACTAACCAAATCCATTATGTCGATGCAAACATCTTTAGGCACTGCAGTATTCTTCGAATTATCATCTCCACGAGTAATGTAAAATGTATTGAGCAAGGAATATGATTCACGACAATAATTACATATAGAAAAGTTAGTTTCATTAATCTAATCATTATTTTTAAGTGAAATGAAAATTTAAAAAAATTATATTAATATTTTCTAATATAAAAATTGACCTAATAAGATATACAAAGTTATAATGTAAGTAAATAATAAAATATTATATTCAAAAAAATTCAGAAAGCAAAACACCTGGAGCTTTTAGGTTCAAAATTTATAACATAAATATTAAAAAGTTATGTTTTCATAAGAATAAATTTCAAACTTAGGAGTTAATTTTATTGAACAAAATTGTTATTGTTTTTTTCATGGTTCATCTATATATACATTTGAAAAACAACAACATTGATACAAAATGATACTTAAAGGCAAATAACATAACAATATTAATTTATCAAATTAATCATTAAACATATTATTAACAACAAACAATGAAATAAATAATAATATTATCCACAAGGCTTACTAAGTATTTACAATAATTATTCAGTAGCGCGCTAACTTTTTTGGTAGCTATAGCTAATAGCGGCTACTTTTTTTATAATTATTTTATTTTTTAGCGCGCTACTTTTTTTGAATTTTAAAAATGAAGGTAAGTGTAAACATGAAAATTTAAATATAATATCATAATTAATTATAATTTTTATGATTTATTATTTAATTTTGAAATTAAAATATAATTTCAATTTGTAATTTATATTTTCATTTGTGTTAATAATTTAAAATGTCATCGCCTATGGATATCCAAATCGTTGAAAGTGATTAAGACAATGATATTAATGAAATGGAAGATACCAGGGAAGAAAATGTTCAAAAAGCTATAATACAAATTTCCCATTTCCTAGATTTGAAAATTTTTTAAAATAAATATATAACCAAAACTGGTTTCAAATTTATTTGTTTAAAATTTAAAAAAAAATATTTCCTCAAATCAATCCAGTAGCTATAACCTCAAGAAACACCTAAAGGTAAATTGTCATTTTTACATTCTAATAATATTTATTTTATAAAACTGAGCAGGTAATAAATTGAGTATTATAGAATGACAAACTATATGAGTTTTAAGGAAATGGAGAAACATCTAAATAATTTTGGTATAGGCGACTCTACATCCAAAAAGACTAATTCAATTCAAACCAAATTAATTAATAATGCAAATGACAATATTTCTCAGAAATTGGCTGATAAAGTTATTGTTGATTTTATAATTTATACAGTTCAGCCAATGTCCTTAGTTGATAATCCATCATTTACCATGATAATTAAAACTCTATCCCCTGGTACAACACTTTTATTCCACCAGACACTAATGAATAAAATAGGAGATAACTTTAAAATGATGAAAGATGCTCTAATAGTAGAGTTATCGAGATATCAAATATATGTACCACGGGAGATAGTTGAACACATAACAGAAGGTAAAAACTTATTTATATTTATAAATTGATCTGTAAATATTTTTGAGTTTATTTGGGAATCACAGGCCATTGGCTAGACCCTAGAACTTTAAAAAGAAGATCTGTGGCATTAACCATCAAAATGATAATAGGATGCCAGACATACGATGTACTTGCAAATAAAATTATTGATAATCTATCTTATATTAAAAATATGTATATAAGATTAAATACGATTTTACCCTCAAGTGCTAGTGTCGAGATATTATTTAATAAGGCAAAACTTATACTTTCTGATCGTTGCTCTAGATTTGGGGATGATAATATTGAAATGATTTTATTATTAAAATGCAACAAATTACCATAAATATTTATTTTTATTACATAAATTTTTTTAAATCAAAACTAACTATATTTTAATATTTATAAATGTTGAATTTATAACATCCTGCAAAAAATAAAAAATTTGTTTGTAAATTTTTTTTATAAAAGGTAGCTAAAGCTACTTTTATTGATAAATAGCGATAGCGCGCCCCTTTTTTTAACATATAGAGATAGCGCACTACTTTTAAAAGTAGTGTTTAACAACTCTGTAATTATGGCATATTGAGAATAAATACTGGCAGTTCAAAAATTTATGAATTTGGTATGAAATTACCAACACATAATTCTATATTAATTGTATAAAATTCTCACATTTTTAATAAAAAATTTGCAGCAATCTATTATTTACAGGGATTTGTATTTTACTATATTTCATTTGTTATTGTTGAAATATACATTTGAAAACATAAATTAAATAGTAAAAAAATTAGGCAATTTAATAACAAATATTTTAAGAAAATTTTATTTAATTATAATGGGAAGTGTATAAGATAAAAAATTTTTTAAATAGCATTATATACTTTATTTATAGCTGTGTAATCTACTTCACAATCAAGAAAATTTTGATAATATTGATAAAAATTCTGAGTAAAATTTGTTATTGCATAATTTATTGATATTCCTGTTTGGTTATCATTATAAAATACAAAACAATCTATAATTATATAGTTTAAACAAATGATATTTAAATTAATAAAAACCAGAGCAATATGCTGATGTCCAAAGGTCATTTATAAAGGTATAACTTTTCAATAATGGTTGAACTACATCATTTTCTAAAATTTCCTGAGGGCAATTATATAAAAATGTATTATTTGTATTTAATCGTGTCAAATTTATATGTTTATCACTCTAAAATAAAATAAAAATAGATTTAGTAAAAAAATATTACATTCAATAATTTTTCATATGACTCATTATACAATATATAGGTATCTATACACTTTTGGCAATAATGTATAGGTTGAGAATATTTTATGATGCAATTATAGATGGATAATAAGGATATTTTGTAATTAACCATTAAGGCATGGCAATTCTCCGAATATTGTATATTGTTATAGTAAAAATCAGGGTTTACATACTCTATTTCTATATTATTAAAATATTTTGAGAGAGATCTTTCCATAATTGAAAATTTTATATTATATAACAAGATAAAAATAAATTTCATTTAAAATTTTTATATTATTAATAAAATAGACATATTTCATGTCACTCAAAGATTCGCCAATTCATATCATTTTTGACAGGCCATAGGACGTGATAAATATTATATAATATGAAATATTATGTAAATTTATAGATTATAATATTTTAATAACAATGCTAATATCTTATATTTTAAAGGTATTTTATATTTACAATAAAAACGAACAAAAGATAGTTTATATATATATCTTTTTTTGATAAATCGGCGTAGCCATGATTTATCCATAGTATGGAGGGAGGAGGGGGGATTTAAAATATTCCAAACTTTTATTTTGTATCTCTTAGAAAAATTTTGAGTATAATATTAAGTAACTTTATATCATTTCAGTTAAAGTTGGCTGAACAATTGGAAATACCATTCTAATATCTATGCTATATAGATCCTGACAATACTTAGTAATTCCTCAATCTTCAACCAAAATAAGAAGCCAGTTATTATGAAAATAAAATAGTCACGTGAAGTGGGCCAAGCTTATGGAAGCACTGTAACAGAAACTTAGTCAATTATTAAGTATTGCTTAATTATATTATTGTTTTAGTCAGTTGATAGAAGGTAGTAATGTTAAAAATTCCGATTCGGTTCGATTTTTAAAAATGGCACGTCAGCCAAAATAATATTATGTAAGCTTCGAGATTTGACAAATGGAGGTCCGCACCTTTCCCATCTGTGAGAGAACTCCCCATGCTTACATAATATTATTTCGGCTAAAATCCTTATCGGGCCGTTTTTTAAAAATAATAGTAGTTTAAAGTGGGAAGATATAATTGGTAAAATAAGGAAAAAATTCCAAAAGTGACATCATAACCTGCTACAGTGAAAGGGAGGATATTTTTTTACCAGATGTTGAAAACAAATAAAATGATTTTATAATATTTTTCTTTTTTCAGTGGCTTCGCTAGGAGGGGGGTGCAGGGGCTCGAGCCCTCTGAAAAATTTGAATAGCCCCCTGAAGCAAAATTATCCCCTTGAACTAAAAATAAATTTTTTTGATTGCCCATTGAATGATTTCTTTAATAATTCTATTGAGTAATATATAGATTTAACTTTAAAATTTAAAAATTAATAAGTCTATCTAAATTATTCTCAAATGAATACTATTTTAATTATTAGATTAGATTAATACTTATAAATTTTATTTTCACTATGTCAGCTTGCAATCAAATTCTCTGTTAAAAATAGAATATTAATATCACTCACTAAATATTAATTTAGCATTAACAGTTGAAGCTTTATTGACTTTTATTTTTAAATTATTATATAACCCTAATTAAATAAATATTAATTGAAAATTAACAAATTTAATATTGTAATTAGCCGAGTATTATATAACCCTAATTAAATAAATATTAATTGAAAAATTTAATATTGTAATTAGCCGAGTTCAAAATCACTAATTAACTATATTATTGATATTTAAATTTAATTACCATGCCTCTTCTTAAAAATATTTTCAAGGTCCAAATCCAAATAAGTATAAGAGATTTATTAAAAAGTAAGTAAACATATAGTTTATAATCCTCTATTAGATATAATTAGTTATAAAAGATTAGGTTAAATACCACTTTTACAGACGATTTGACATATTGTTAATATTTTAATAAATTTTACTAATAAATGTTTTTGATAATAAATATAAGTAATAAATTGCTTTCAAATATTTAACGCCATCTATTTATTATAAATATTTTTAAAATTTAACATTTTATTATTTATCCCAGAATGGATGTAATAAATTAGATAACTTTTCTTCTCTTTTTTACGTGTTTTTAGGAAAGCCATTTTTTTCTTATTTGAAAAACGAGTTAAATTTTTAATACTAGTATATTTTTGATATTATTATAAACTACTACTATTTTAAGATATAATATACCAACTAGAGGTAGTGCGACAATAATATATAAAATCTTAATTAATTTCTTTTATCATAACATATCACTCTGGTTCTTATTTTATAGTTACAAAATTTTCATTTCTAATATGGCATCCCTTCTTTATAAATAATTTAAGGCTTCAATACATTTGCATAATTTCTTCTAAGGATTTTAGTGTTTTTGTTTTATCAATTTATCTAGCATTATAAATTCTGATATAAGTTAATATAGTGAGTGTCATGGTTATGACTGCAACCAGCATCTATTATTTGTGTGTCTATGTAATTTAAAATTATTATTACAGCTGCTGAGAGCATATGATTGCATATTTTATAAACAATAATGGTCAACTGTGTAGTTGTTTATATATCATTAAAAATGGAAGATAATCTATTAGAAATTTAATATCTCACATTTTTTTCTCAATTACTTATCTAGCTTCCATCATGTCATTTAAGAGGAAGCTCTAACCACCATATAGTTTTATGATTTGAATTGGTCGTTTATATTCTCTTCTCCAAGAATTGTTGATTTGTTAGGGCCTATAAATTTTTCCTTATTAGTCCATTCTATAAAACATTGTCTAAAAATGGTAACAGAGTGTTATATTAGGTTTTTCACCTTTTGTCAATGTAAGCTGCTAATTTTATAATAAGTAGTTTTTAAAAACCATTATCAATTAAGGCATATGTATGAATTAATTAACCTTTATTATCCCTTGTGACGCATAATTTATATAAGCAATCGAATATTTTATACTGTAATAAATAGATTTTGTATTAAAAAATAATATTTTTAGAAATGTCTTATATTGTTTTAATTATTTATATGCTAGTTTATTTTGTATGCATAATATAATAAATGACAAAATATGAAATTCAGAATAATTATTCAGAGTTAGCAAAATTTTAAAAAGTATAATATATTAATATAAAACCCTGGAGACCGGGCTAAAGCGGGCTGAAGGCCCGCAAATGGGGGGTCCCCCCATAGATTTTTTTAGTTGATCCCCCTGAGATTGTAAAGGCTAGCGACGCCCCTGTATACAAATATTGATAATAAATTTTTTAAATGGCACACTTGAAATTTACAATTAAATTTAAAAAAAAAAAATTAATATAGTGATTAACTAAGAACACGGGAATGGATATCTAAGAACATCAATACGGATCATGCTGTTTTTAGAGATAGAGTTATGTTCTAGAATGATGTCTGGTGTTATTTGTTGTAGTTTTGTATTATTATGATATATATTTGTACATATATATTATAAAATGTCAATCAAAAAGAATATATTTTATTTATTAGTTATTTTATCGAGAATTGATATTCAAACACTTGGTATTTTTTTGTTTACTTTTTTACTTTTGACTTTTGATAAATATTTTATACGAGATAAATTTTAATGTTCATGTTTTATGGAAATGAAAAGAAAAACTTTTATGAGATGAAAATTATTTTAATTTGATGTTAATAATTTGATTCAGTCGGGGATTTTATAAAATGAAGAATATTGAATTGATTTTTTGAAATATATTGTGAAACAAAAAATTATATTATTATGAGATATCATTATGAGATTTTGATTGTGAAAATTAAAATATATTTTGAATAAAGAAATTCTTGGAAATTAATATATTTACATATAAAATATTAGTGCAGTGGTACCAGGATTCGTGAACACTTATTAGGGAAAAATAAGCTAATTTAAAAAAAATAGTGAATATTTTGTGAAGAGAATCTTAGATATTATAAAAGAAAAAAATTTCTAGGACCGGGTTCCTAAAAACATTAGTGGATTCCGGATATTTAAAGGTAAAAAATTTATTTTTATATTATAAATTACACAACGCAATAGTAGGATTTTTGGATTAAAATTAGAAATATATAAGATAAATTTTTAAATTTTGGATAATTAATGAAAAAATGGCTTTTTATTTTAATGATAATTATAATAAGCATAATATTAATAAAATGTCAAATTTTAAGAGTAATTTTAATAAAATTTTTTATTCAAATTTTAATAAAGTGGATATGACCAATAATGTCATTACTGCATTAATTTTTTTGTGTTTTATGTAATCTTAATTAATGAAACAATTAATAAGGAAAATAAAAAGAAGATCTCTTAAAAATAGAGAAAGTGATATAAAAAATACAAATACTGATAATATAATTCCTAAAGTTTTGGTGAAATCTTCAGATATCAATGAAGATATAAAAAATAGTTTACATTTAATTTTGTTAGAATTAAAAAATTTAAATGTTAAAAAAAATGTTGAAGAAAAAAATGATAAAAATTTAGATACGGGTGACGTATTTAAATTTCTTCAAAACATTGAAATATCGGAGGATATCAATAAAAAAATAGATTCAATTGTAATTGAATTTAAAGAGAAAATTTCTGATGTTTTAAGTAAAAGGCCAGAAGAAATTTTTAAAAAAAATAAAATAGATAATACTTTGAGACATAGTAAATCTATAATTTTAAGTGAAATTAGAGAAATGAGAGAAAATATGAAAAATTTGTCCAGAGAAGTTTCCAACTTAAAAATCAAAAGTAATAATGTGATTGAAAGTTGTGAACTTTGTGGAAAAAAAGGACATATAAGTAAAAATTGTTATTCAAGAGACCGAAAAACTGATGAGAATTTGACTGCAAAACCAAGTGAAAAAAATGACATAGTGTGTCATCGATGTGGTTTTGTAGGACATATAAAAAGAAATTGTATGGTGAAAGAAGCCAATTTCAAAAGTGGATTTCCCCAACGAACATCGGTAGTGATAAATCCAGTGGTTCGAAGTATACAAAATCCTCAGAATATAAATGTGAATGAAATTAAAACCAACAATACAGACCATGATAGAATGTGTTTCAAATGTGAAGAAATGGGACACATTGCCTTACATTGTATTCAAAGTGTGAGTGGGTTACAGTGACTATATGATTTGAAAGAGAATCATATAAAAATAGAAGGATCATATTTAGAGAATAATAAATATTTTGATATATATATTTTATTAAAAATTTTGTGGATATATATAATAAAATTGATAATCGTTTTAATGTAAGAAATTTTTATTGTGAAGTAAAAA